ACTAAGCCAACGCCGCTGCTCAGTCATACAAAGCAGCGGTATTGAATGAGTATGAACAGTTGACGATCAACCAATGCCAATCCCTGGAATAAACAAAGTTCTTTTTCCTTCTGTCAGTAAATTGTTGTTTTTTTTTTACAAATAGTTCAAATAAGCAATGGGAAATAAGGCAAAATTTGTTTTATTTCCAACCTTTGTTCGCAAAAAATATAGAAAAAGGTTTTTTCTTAACAGCGGTCGTCCCTCGGCAGGCAATGGCAAACCTTCGAGTGTATTTCTGCCATGAAGAACAGCTTCTCATAAAAATACAATCGCCGTTCGGAGTCGGCGTAAAACGGTAGGTCCCTCCGCTTTGTGTGACAACATCAAGGCGCACGCCCCAAGTCTGAGAAGAAGCTCGGCCAAACACTAACATATGTGTAAGTGCCAATCTAAAAGAAAAATTTTCTACAGATATACGATTTTCCAAGNCCAATCTAAAAGAAAAATTTTCTACAGATATACAATTTTCCAAAATTTTAATGTATGCAGATGATGTAAAGCTTTATAAATCGTTCGTTTCAATTAAAGTAAGGTCTTTGCTACAATCAGACTTAAACAGCATGGCTTACTGGTGTAAAGTAAATCTTATGTCTTCGAATCTTAAGAAATGTTCAGTAATGTGTTTCGCACGAAGAGCGAATAGGTAACCATAACCTGGAACAGGTATACAATTTTGTGGACCTTGGTATCACAATAGATCCTAAGCTGANTGTAAAGCTTTATAAATCGTTCGTTTCAATTAAAGAAAGGTCTTTGCTACAATCAGACTTAAACAGCATGGCTTACTGGTGTAAAGTAAATCTTATGTCTTCAAATCTTAAGAAATGTTCAGTAATGTGTTTCGCACGAAGAGCGAATAGGTAACCATAACCTGGAACAGGTATACAATTTTGTGGACCTTGGTATCACAATAGATCCTAAGCTGAATTTTAATCTTCATATTTATGTGACAGTCAACAAGGCTAAAGGTGTACTTGCATTTGTGAAACGATGGTCAAAAGAATTTTGTGACCCTTGTATCACTAAAACCCTGTTTACAACATTAGTTAGGCCAATTCTGGAATATGGTTCGGTGGTTTGGAATCCAAGGTATCAGATTTACTCAGACAAGATAGAATCAATTCAAAAACAGTTCCTACTTTCTGCTTTAAGAAATTTCCGTTGGGATTCTCAATAATACGAGCCGATTAAAACTTATTATNCTGGAATATGGTTCGGTGGTTTGGAATCCAAGGTATCAGATTTACTCAGACAAGATAGAATCAATTCAAAAACAATTCCTACTTTCTGCTTTAAGAAATTCCGTTGGGATTCTCAATAATACGAGCCGATTAAAACTTATTATTCTTCCTACACTTTCCAGCCGCAGACAAATGCTTGGTACAATTTTTATAGTTAAATTACTAACAGGTTCAATTTCATGTCCGCTTCTTCTGGGCGAAGTTTGCCTTAATGTTCCCTCCCGGGTATCAAGACACTTTTGTCCCCTATTTTTGAAAGCTTGTAAAACTAATTTTGAATTGCACGACGCACTCCGTTGCTTATGCCAGGATTTTAACTGTCATTCCAGCACGTTTGATATATCAGATTCGCTTTTCAGCATTAAGAAATCGATACTGTCCTCTCTCAATAAATGAATCATTAAAATAAAGGCATAAAACCGGCTGATGAATTTAGTTCTGTAGCTGAATAGTTTTAGATCTCGACACTTAACAAACTCCTGCCTATCGTGACTCGGCGCATAAATTGAAAATCTTGGTTCCGTACGTCATGCGGACTGCACCACTCGTGCGGATGGGCGGGAATGGAGGGTAAAAACCGTTATGATTATTATTAAGAGCCATTGTATCCATGTTGTGAGTTTTCATAAAGTTTTGGGGTTCCACTTTGTGCTGGGTGGGACGATTTGCATTCCAATGACAGGTGCTGTATTCACACATTATGGCCTATTTAATCAAGCTTGCATTTGATCAGTGATCGGCATACTACCATATTCAAACGATTGAATAAGTGAGACAGTGTGCGTTAAATGCACTGCTCAACTGGCGCTATTCGGGTACGTGTGAAACACACATGTGCTCAGAGAGCGCTCAGTGAGCCATGGCCTGCCGATCAGTGCATTAGATTATTCTGATTTCGGATCATGTCCTGCATCATTCTCTACATATCTGTTAGTTATAATTTCGAGAAAATAGAGAATTTCGTTTACTTTAGAACTAGGATTAACACCGATAATAATGTCAGCATCGAAATCCAACGCAAAATTACTCTTGCCAACAGGTGCTACTAGGCAGTTCAGAAGTAAAGTTCTCTCTCATCCTAAACAGCCTGCCGAAAACTATACAACAATTCTAATGAATGTATAGAATTAACAACAACAACCACACTGTCAAGTTGAAATTGCGGCGAATCAGCTGCACTTGATAGGTTGAATATCGAAATAGATTAGCAACAAGAGTTTACGGGGTGTGCATAACTCAGTGGTTAGCGCAGCATGGCTGGCTTTGCACATGGATGATGCGGTTTAATTCCTGCTAAAGTCTAGAGAAAGGAGTCTGATGAGGCGATGTGATCTCCGAAATAGCAGCATTAACTTCTGCCGATTGGATTTTGTTGCTTTTCCATATTTACTACTAAAAAACAAAATCGTGGTACAAAGCCAAATAACACTAAACTGATTAGTCGATATCGCGCCGATTTGGAAATGTACCGTTCGTAGAGAGACGGGATGAGTAAATGATGTGAAAGTTTGTATTTATAGTCTCCAAGCCAAACCGTGTTTTTTATCAACTGTCACCATGACGTTTGCCTCAATATAATCCACCACCTGCCTCCATAACCGAAACTCCGAGAGTCATTGCGGATTTCATCCATCATGTTTGACCATGAGCAGTAGCAGTAGTAAGTTCGACACATCGTCTCCAAAAATCATATTAATTTGATCGATGCATTATTTTTAAGTTAATCAGCGCCTAGCTGGGTTTATCAAATCACTTTAAATCAGGAGAACCCAGCTCCAATAACCAGTTTTTTTCAAACAACGGTCTTATCATAACAAAACCGGCACAAAATCGTTAAAAATCAAAATTCTTATTTAGCGTGTTTTGCGTTAACGAAGATGGTATCTACACATCGTCACCTCAGAAAACGGATGTCGTATGTTACAAAACTTTGAAATTTATGGTCGAATTAATCCGAAACTTTACGGTAGATTTTTTAATTTTTGAAGGGGACGTGGTTGGTGTTATTAGTTTTTATTTTTAATATTTTTAAATTTAATATCTCTAAACGTTAATGAGAAAATTGACTTTTCATTCCGTATACATTTGTCGAAGCGTTTACTTACCACTTTGTCTTGTCCATAGAACATGCGACAATACTCTGTAAAGTATCTTTTTTAACGAGGGTGGTGTAATTTGATGAAAACACCAGATATATTTATTAAATAATGATTACTTATTGGAAAAAACATAACAAAAACATTTACATATAATAAAAAATCCTGTACATCTTTTATGCTGTAAAAATGTTTCGAAAGGTTTTCTTTTTTATAAAAACAAAAAAAAAAAAAAATACTTAAATTCATTCTTTTGCACATTTTCTTTTTTTAATTTCATTGGAATCTCAGTACCAGCTAAAATGAAAAAACAATTAGTTACTTAGTTTAATTTCCAATTTTAATTGTGTCGTTATAGCAGAGGACCATCGAATTGTCGTAAGTTCAAAGTTTTGCGATATATACGACACATGTCTTATGATTAAAAAAATATTACATTTGTATGGGAATTTGTCGTATGTGCCACTGGGAAAATAGGTAAGCACCTTACAAGGTAAGCCATGTTTTCTTTCAGTTTTTAGTACCAAGATTGCCATCATGGCCAATGCCATCTACTAGTAAGACGCAAAATGAACACCTCCAACGATACATTATGTTGTCAGTTGCAAAATAGCGTGCAGCCGAAGTTATTTCCAAGCATCGAACTACTCTAAGCGACTGCTCTGCATTGCACGTAACTTACTTTGTAAAGCGGCTTAGAAGTATGTCTGATACCAAATGTACATTCTAAATTCCTACTTACATAAAGCGGCCACGTCTTTGTTAAAGTAAGGGAGATGCGTCAGTGACGTGGTAAGAAATGCCGGGTGAAGTGTAAGTTGCTGGTAAGGTATTGCCCTTCACCAGGCGGTCCTTACCACTTCCCTGCCGAATCTCCATTACTTTAACAAAGACGTGGTCGCCTTATGTAAGTAGGAATTAAGAATGTACATTTGGTATCAGACATACCTCTGAGCCGCTTTACAAAGTAAGTTACTCATAATGCAGAGCAGTCGCCCGGAGTAGTTCGGCGCTTGGAAATAACTTCGGCTGCACGTTATTTTGCAACTGACAACGTAATGTGTTGTCGGAGGTGTTCATTTTGCGCTTTACTAGTAGATGACATTGGCCATGATGACAATTTTGGTACTAAAAACGGAAAGAAAACATGGCTTACCTCGTAAGGTGCTTACCTATTTTCCCAGTGGAATGTAGAAATTTTCTTTGTATAATGAAATTTTCATAAGGTATTTCAGCTCCAATTTTAATACAAGTGAATATCGTTAGATTTTTCAGAAATTTCAAACCTGCACATTAAGCCGTATCACGACATATTACAGAAAAAAATTAAGCGTGTGGCGGTTTTATTTNTTATGATTAAACAAAAATACGTTTGTATGGGAATTTGTCGTATATGACGTATTTTCAACAGATACAATAATACATACGACAAAATACACAGGAAATATCTCAAAAACTAAGGGAGATATAAAAAAAATGGATTGCAGAAATCGAAAGACCATGTCCAACTTAGTAAATCTGCATCAAAATCCCAAAATCGTGATTTTGCACATTCGACATCCGTTTTCTGAGGCGACGATATGTGCACATATTTGAAATACGATTTTCTTTTTACTTGTAGGTTCCAATTTCACTTCACGGGTGTACGCCAAACAAATCGTTTGGATAAACCGGAGTGGTTCTTCACACAAATACTGAATTGGTGCAAGGAGATTCACCTCTTCGTTGGAAGGACTTTTCAGCCAGCTGCGGTGAAAGCTGGCAAACTGAACTATAATATACGTGTAAGCAATTTTTAAAAATATCATTATCTAGTGTACATACTTATGTATGTAAGTACATTAAGATGTTTCAGAATTTTGTTGGAGCGCAATTTTATATGCATACCCTCTTAATAAATCCTCTTAATTAATTCATGTCCGCGTGAATGACGTATGTATGTATGTATTTTTTTCAGTACGATCATAATGACTCACGCCGACTCGTTCAATACAAGAGACACCTGAATTAATATTTTATAAGAATAATACAGTAATTAGCTCTAATTCTTAATATCACTTCGTTTGATTGGTCAGCGGATTATTCAGATAAATATGCATTAGCAATTCAGACAGTTGTCCGTTTAAAACGTTTTATGAAAACCCGTTATTTGGCTATACCTGGAACACTACATGGTAGTGGGAGGGGAACCATGCTTCGGATTGAGCTATCGATTTAACATAGGGATAATGTAAACTTACTTATACAATTAGTTGAAATGTTTCTCTGTATACGAATTTTGAATTTATATGAGAACTGGCTTACTTTTTTTATAACGGTAAAATGAAAAAGTACCCACAATGAATTAACTTTAATAAATGTACAAGAAACCAGCATGGCTGGATAGGTTGGTTGCACTCTAGTCGATTTATNAAACTGGCTTACTTTTTTTATAACGGTAAAATGAAAAAGTACCCACAATGAATTAACTTTAATAAATGCACAAGAAACCAGCATGGCTGGATAGGTTGGTTGCACTCTAGTCGATTTATTTAAGCATATTGTGATACACGACATTTTTCGTTTTGTTGTCAGGTGCGAAAATGAACAAAGCGGATGGTTTTCCGACACGTGAACGTGCCACGTAAAGTTGACCGTGAGAGAAACATTAATTTTCAAGATTCAGGCCACGAACACTCAAAGATTGACCTTGTGATTTGTTGATCGTCATTGCGAATGCAAGGCGAATCGGAAATTGAATTCGTTTAAACTCGAATGGTATTTATATCGGTTGGGATCATCGGATTTCTCGGAATGAGAACTTCCTTACCTTCGAACTTTCCTTTAAGTATTGTCGCATGAATGACATTGTCCATGAGTTTTCTCACCAACAAACGCGTTCTGTTACATAGTTTTGGTTGGTTAAGATGTCGAGGCATGATAATTACGGAGCCAACCTTCAGTTGTTAATTGTGCGGTGGTAAGCTAGGCAGATCGAAACAGTTTAAAAATTCAGTTGGATAGTTGGTAGCTTCGTCTTCGTTTGTTACACAGTCTATAGATTTGAAGGATTGAAGTGAGCCAACGCTTTGATTTTGAATTGTAACAGTTAAGTGGTCTACATCTTTGTTCTTTGCCACAAGAATTACTCGTTCACTCCATCAATTGTGATATTTGTGGTTAGCAATTATATTCGGGAAGATTTTGTTGATGAGAGGAAACCAATCCGTTCAATTTGTCGACAGGAACACGGCCATTACCGATAGTCAGCAATTGCTTAGAGAAATATTCGGCGGATGGATCGTTTAGTAATGCAACTCGCATATCTGTCGTCATCTGAAGTTTCTTCACAAAGCGCCACAGAGTAGTTGATGTCAGACAAGCGTTTATTTCATCTGCAGCCGTCGATCTTGGAATGACTGGTAATGTTTGGCGAAAATCGCCAGACAGTAGAATCATTGCGCCACCAAAACACCTTGAGGCATTGCGCAGATCTTTCAAAGTGCGATTAAGTGCTTCCAATGCGCGCTTGTGCGCCATTGTGCATTTATTCCAAATGATGATTTTACCTTCTATCAAAATTTTGGCCATTGCCGAGTATTTCGCAATGTTACATGTCGGGGTTTCAGAAGTTTAAAGGTTTAAAGGCAACTTCAACGCTGAATGAGCCGTTCGGCATCCTTCTAGCAAGGTGGTTCCTATCCCAGATGAAGCAACAGGAATTTCGGATCTCGCACGAACAGTGGCCAAATCCAATGACATGAGGAATGTTTTCCCAGTTCCACCGGGCGCATCAAGGAAAAATAAACCGCCGTTTCCATCATCAATCGCCTTCATTAACGTATTGTACACTACCTTCTGTTCAACAGTGGTAAATTTTTCCGAACTGATTGGTTCAATGCATCGCGATCATATTCACGTTCACGTTCCAATACTCGATTAAATGCATCATTCATTTCGCGATGTAGCGTTCGCGTTCCTAACTTGACTAAAACAGTGCCACAAATGCGGTAACTCATGTCTTCAATCAAAAGTAAAGCCTGGTTATGTATCTCTTCGTTCAACTCGAGATCGGGATTTCCTGAACAGATACGAATTCTGTGTAAAATGTCTTCTGACATGTCAGCCTTGTACGTGTTCCACAGTCCACATGGAATCGATGAGAAGCATGTCGAATTAAAGATAGCAAAGAATGTGCGTATTTGCTTTGGAGATGCAGAAATAATTTTGTTTTTGTTTTATACGTGCATTTATTTGTGGGATCTTCTTATTTTACATCTATTAAGCCTAACAACAAGTTTAAAAATCTTACGTCTAATTTACAATAATATAGCTCCAGCCCTTGAGTTGAGCCCTTGAGTTGAGCCCTGCTGGTTTAATGTCGCTCAACAAAAGGCTGGTAGTCTCTTCTTCGCAGGCGTGTTATATTTGTTGTGTTGCACAGGCTACTTGCCAGTAGATTTGGGTGATTACGCAGTTTTATTTTATATTCTTCTCTGCTCCTGTCGATTGCAGATTTAACCATCCCGTTAAGGCCCTTAGCGTTTTAGATTGGAATTTTTAGATCCTGTCAATGTTGGTTGCAAAGGTCGTACCCCACAGTTGAATACCATACATCCATATAGGCTTAATGTTTCTATTATATATAAGTACTTTATAACCTAGTTTCAGTTTTAATTTACTGTTTATCAGCCAGTTGACGCTAGCTGACTTTATCTTCATTTGTGTAATCTTGGATGATATATGTTTGCGCCAAGTTAGTCTCCTATCCAAGTGTATTCCTAGATATGGACATTATTTAATTTGTTGGGGGGCACAAGTTTTTCTATTTCGGTATTTGATGTGTTTCTTTAAAATCATCAACATAGAAGTCTATATCACCCTCGCAGTTAAGTGCAGCGTTTAATTTAAGGTGACTACTGATGTACTTTTTATATTTAAGCCAGTTGGTGTTATTTGAAGTTAGACGAGGCTCAATCTCGATGTTTTGGGGTTGTTCATATGGTTTTATTAATATAGGGGAGTGATGGGATGATAGTTCAGATAGAATTTCTGCTGTTATGTTATTCCTGTCTATGTTTCTATCTATTAGGTCTGGTATCTTCTTTATATCGGTGGGCCAGTAAATAGGTTTACCAGGAGATGTGACCTCTCGTCTATTGTGACTGTTTAAAATAGTATTGTATAACTGCCGCCCTTTTGGGTTAATAACGCGTGATTTCCAGTACGTAGGCTTTTGAAGTTGCCTCCTGCCAGGAATTCATTACCCAGGCTATCAAAGAAATCTTTGAAGTCATTTTCAGAAATTAAAAATCGCGGTGGGCAATAAATAGCCGATAGATTAAAGTCTCGGTCGCGGTTTCGTAAGCATATGGTAGTTGCATGCAGACAGGCTGTTGCTTTTAAGTCCAGAATATTGTGCTTTAGGCGATTTCTAATCAGCACCGCTGTGCCTCCATGAGCTTTGCCATCTTGGTGATTTGTGGCATAGAAATTGTATCCAGGTATGGAGAAATTATATTTATTTATTAAATGTGTCTCGGACAGTAGCATTACATCTATGTTATATTCAGTAAGCAAATTTCCAACTCACTCATTTTTTATTCACTAAAATTTGCAACAACTGGTTTTTAGCCCTTATGACATGAATTGAGTCATCTTCTTCTTCTTATTTGGCACTGTAACCGCCTATGCTATTTTGGCCGAGTTCAACCAAGCACGCCAGTCGTTTCTTTTCTGTGCCAACTGACGCCAATAGGAAATGCCAAGTGAAGCCAAGTCCTTCTCCACCTGGTCTTCCCATCGCAGTGGGGACCTCCCTCTTCTTCTGCTACCACCAGCGGGTTCCGAGTTGAATACTTTCAGATCTGGAGCGTCGGTGTCCATTCGAACGACATGGCCAAGTCACTGCCCATGGTTCTGCGCCATATACCAGCACGTTCATGATGAGTAACTTATAGAGTGTGGTTTTCGTACGTCGAGAGCGGACTTCATTCCCGAATTGCCTACTCAGGCCAAAATAGCACTTGTTGGCTAGAGCGATTTTGCGTTGGATTTCCATGCTGACATAATTATCGGTGGTAATGCTGGTTCCCAAGTAAACAAAATTCTCTAATTTCTCGAAATTATAACTGTCAACAGTGACGTTAACTTTACGTTGGTGCGCTCCAATATATACATGTCTAGAGTCTACCAACCACCTAGTTGCTATTTCTAGACGCTTCAAAACTTACACTTTCTGCCGCCAACGTACAGGAAAATTGTGCGNTCTTCGTGCGACGCCACCTGCGTAAATATATACATGTCTAGAGTCTACCAACCACCTAGTTGCTATTTCTAGACGCTTCAAAACTTACACTTTCTGCCGCCAACGTACAGGAAAATTGTGCGTACAACACCGACATCCGGTGCTTTCACCATGCAGCGCATTTTGTATAGCTTCAACTCGTGACTGACGCTCTCGGTTGCAGGATTTTAATGACTGATTAATGTTATACTACTTTTTAATCAATACTATACTGCTCGCAATTAATTTTTCTGATTTTATAAAGTAGTTGCAAGGTTTAGAGTTTCTGCACAAATTTAAAGCCACCCCGCGCCTCCCCGTGACGGCACGCTATTTTTCTATACCACAAACGTGACATAATGTTAAAAATTCATCTTTTATAAAATGCTAGTAGTTCCTTGTCGCTCGCCTCCCCGACTACTTTGGGAAATTAACAAACTTTGTAGCAAAACCTTTGATTTATTAATATAGTACTTATATACAAGTTTCATGTGCAAATAAATATTAAAAAGTGTTTAGACGTAAGAACTGTTTGTTATCTGGATAGTACAAAAATGCCAAATAAAAGGGATATTTTATGAATAAAGGCATGCACAAATAATGCCAAATATGGTCTTTTGGTTTGAATTTTTGTACTCAACGACGGTTACTTTTTGGATTTTAAAACAAAAGTTGGAGGTGCTCAATGTCAAATAAATAGGAAAAATGTCCTGTAAATTATAATAAAAAAAGCGTGTACTTTTTGCTGAGTGTTCTAAATCTAATCATATTTTTACAGCTAGAATTCATTCGTGGGCTTGTGCAATTGATAATTGAAAAACTCTCTGCCGATATTGACGAAATAAGTCGAGATGAACATCTATTTGCCCATTTGGTGGACGAGACTTTAGCTTTCGAGATTGAGTTGCGAGAGATTTTTGGATACCCTAATAGTTTTACCAGTGTGATTTCAGTTATAACTCAACCAATTTATTTACTGAAGTGGATATCACTTGAAGAGCGTTGTAAGTATAACTTTGCTATAACCAATACATGCATTACTTTTCAGCAAAGTTGGCTACACATGATGTCCAAATTAAACTGGACAGCACAATACCGTGGGAGTTATTTTTGTAAATGGAATATTAAAATCGGTGCAATTCACAGATAAACAACGCCAGCTCTACCATTGGTTGCCTTGTAATATAGTTTCAAAAGTAATGAGAAGTCATGCTGCTAATTGCACGGTTGTCGTTGTTGTACCGGCTTACTTAGCCCTGCCTAGACCGTGGACATGCGAAGAGGTGTGTCGGGTCATGGGGTGACTACCCGCAGGCCGGACATAGGTTGGGAACATCTAAGTTTATCCTGCTCAAGTACGAGTTTGGCCTGCAAGTATCCCGAGGCAAACGTAGTTTTGCCTCGTCCACGTTGTGCGGTTGTGTTCTTAAAACGGCATTCACGGGTCGGGAGTTGATGTAGGTTGAGGCTGTCTTATGAATCTGGACCTCGTCCGTCAGGTTATATAGGCTCTAAAGCAAGCAGATGTCTGTTACGGTGCCCACGCCTGTGAAATTCCCAGCTGTAGTCTGACCTCTCATAGAGGTGGTAAAATGACCTTAAGGTTTACCACAGCTTGCTTACACCAAAGGTATTCCAAATCTCATGTAGGTTTACTAGTTGCCGAATCTCTTTGTTAAGATCCCTGATGCGGGTTTTCCCGGAGCCGTCTTGCGAAGGTTATCACGCTCGTTGGCTGGAAGAGCCGTTTCAGTTGAGAAGTTTGGGCGGGTGATTTTATTTTTATTTGGAAACTTTCATAGAAATTTTGGAAAGTAGCGATGGTCAAGTTGAAAAATTTAGGGGTTTTTAATTTTACCCGATGAAAACCCCCAACAAGCTAAGTCTAACAATATATTTTCAGACGGGTCATTCCAGCGAAGATGACATCACAGGTCAAAAATAAATTACATAGATTGCATTTAAATCTGTGACAATACTATGGCATGTAGAATAATTCTTAAGAAATCGATTTTTGTCGATTTATTTCTAGCTATATTCCCTATTTTTCTGATATAGTATTTTCTAGTAAAGTTGATAAGGCATTTCTCGTGGCTTGAAGGTGACAATGCAAATAACAAATATCCAAAGCGAAAGTATACTTCAGGTGGTCTCATATTTGAATTCGAATAACATCAAAATGATAATATAACATTTCGACCTTTGTTTTATTTGTTTGTATTGAAAGTAATATTTGAATGAGGATATTTAAATAGAAACTCGTGAAGAAAACAAAATTAGTTATTAATCGAAATCCCGCTAAAAAGCTAAATAGAAGTTGGTTATTGTAATCAATTGATAATTTTTTTCTGAGGGTTATTACCAGAATACATTTATGGGGAGAAGTTGTTCAGCTTTCAAAGAAATGCTTATTGGACGTCCCTCCCGTCACCGCAATTTTTTTTAATCTAACTTGCAAATATGTAAGCTTCCCATAAAATAAGGCTCTTTTATTAAAAGTATAATAAATATTCATATGAAACCAGTATAGTTCACCTTACTCACGAACTAAGTATGTGTCCTCCATAACAACTCCTCCCACCCGTCACAAGCTGAAATAGTTTTTTAATCTGCGAATATAATAATACCACTAAATAATAAAATGGACCTCAGCATTCTATTAGTTATGTACATACGATAAAGGCTCTATTAACTAAATATTTAACGAATCCATCAACTCAGAGAGGCGGGTGTAATCGTTGTCCCACCCGCCACCCTTGGAAAATTTCATTTTTCTGTGTAAATTATATAACTAAGTTTTATATTTTATTAGTAATAATCTGTTATCTGACTTCAAGTATTAACGTTTTGAAATTTGTCAAATTAATGGTTAAAGAGAAATTACTTAGTAATTTTAAAGGTAACAAAATAAAAATGGAGGTTCTTAAGAAACCTATTTTCATGTTGTTCTCGACCCTACCTATAACCTACACTAAGCTTTGTTTGTATTTGGTTTTTTTTTTCTTTTTGTAGCACAGAGTTATTAGAATTTGGCGTTCACGTACGCAAAAAATTTGCAAAGTAGGGGAAATTGAAAGCGCATAGTGGCAGTTGATTTTGAGCGAAAGTTGTTGAACTTGAAAGATTTACTAATTTTTTTTTGGATATTTTCCATTTTGAGAGAGAATCCTTCGTTACTCTCCTGCAAGTTTCTGCTGGATATTTTTCACTGGAGATCTATTCGAACGGACTTATTTTCGTTGAAAATCAATAATTTTCCAAGACATTCCGCAGAGAAAATGACAAACATGGGTTCTTCGAAGTAACAGTGAGTGAAAGTTTTACCATCTATAGTCCAAGTTAAGCTGCAGCGGTTAAAAATGTTTGTCATGTCAATATTTTCGTGAAACTGAGGCGGATCAAGCCTTCGTTGTGTGTGTTTCTCCGTTAAACAAATTTTGACAATCATTAAGAATTATGTATACATTGATTAGGCCAAAAACGATATTTAGTAGAAGATATAAACACAAACAGATAAGCGTATTGATTGGAAATGTGTCAAGCATGCTTACAATTTTGACCATAAGTATAAGCATGGCAATACTACATGTATTTTTTTTTTCTTTCAGTCTGCTCGGAGAAAATGGATCTTATATTACATGGTGATAGTCCTTGGATGCTTATTGACCCCAACTTTTATGATAATGATTTAAAAATTCCAAAATGTGCTGATCAGTTCATACGCCTGCTTGAAGCTATTAAAGATCGATACCACGCACTTATTCAACCAGGCCAACAATTACAATTCCTGTCGCTTCAATTAGAGCTAATAGAAAACTTTCGAAGGCGCCTAGTTCAACTTCACAGCAGTGGTGAAGTTGAGAACATTTCCATTTTGAATGCTATCAATTACTTAGCCTTGGTACTGCGTGAATGGGGTGAAAATGTTCATTATTTACATTTGCATGCTGCACTTGTGGGTCCAAATTATACTGAAATTCATTCAGTGTTCGATCATCCGGTTAGTGAACTAGAGCACTGGACAGAAAAATTAATTGAAAACCTTGCAACGAAGGCGGTAAATGAAATAAAAGCGAAATCGATGCCTTATCGTCATGATTCTTGGTCCAGCGTGCCAGACCAGAATTGCAGAGAGCCTTTCATATTGTCGTCCAGTGCAGGGGAAATGTTTCAGGTGAGTCTTTATTGTAGAATAGAAAACAAAAAAATATATACTTTTAATCACTACATAGGTGATGGTAACAACACTTCATAATATGGAGCGAGAACTATCATTAAATCTCTTCAATCTTACGCTGCGCATTATAGCCAATCAAGTAGACGACTTCCTCTTCGATAGTCTTGTTATGAATAATAGATTCACACCAGCAGGAGCTGCGCAATTTAATTACGATATGACCCGGAACCTGTTTGCATTATTTGGGCAATATTGCCGTCGACCGGATTTGCTTTTCAAAAAGTAATGGTAACTTTGAAATCTGATAAGTCATTTGGTAGGATAAGTACATTTAAAAATCTCTTGTATTTATATATAAATTTCCGCAACCACGACACGTCCGCCCTGAACCCCATTCAGCATTGAGATAAGTTACGAGGGCAATTTGAAAGGTCAGTGACTTTTTGAATAAAAGATATATTTTTCGGCAACAAAGCGTTAAATTTCTCAACAAGACTCCTTTTTGCTCGATATATTTAGTCCAGCATTTTTCCTTTCTTTTAATTCCTTCTAAATAATTGGCTTTATTCGAACCAAATCTCTTACCGCGCAGCCATTTTTTCAGGTTTGGAAACCGGAAATAATCGTTTGGGCTAAATCTGGAGAATATGGTGGATGGGGTAGGAGTTCGTAGCCCTATTGAGGGATTTTTTTTATAGTGACTACTCACGTGTGCACCGTTCATTGTCTTGATGGAAATCACTTATTTTTGACTGAATTTGGTCGTATTTGCTCAAATCAATCTCGAGCTGTCCAACACCTCTGAATGATATTCCCCAGTAATACTTTTGCCCTTTTCAAGTTAATCGATGTGAATAACACCGCGTGCATCGTAAAAAACCGTAGCTATGACCTTATTGACCTTCTTCCGTGCACTTCTTGGTTGTGCCTTGGTCTCTGGTGTTATGGTGGATCCCTCTTTCGTCAACGGCTATGAAACGGCCGGCTTTTCATGTTTCTAAATGTTATGTAAAATTTGATGTACCTACCCAGATGACGTGCTTACAGCCTCAGCCATCTCATTACTTCTTCTTATTTTGCACTACAACCGTTTATCGGTTTGGGCCGAGAACAACAAACTTCGCCAGTTGCCTCTCTCCTTTGCAGATTTGCGCCAGTTGTTCATGCCAAGGGCGGACAGGTCTTTCTACCCTTGGTCCTTCCATTGTGTTCGTGAGCGCCCTTGCTTTCGTTGTCCACCCATAGGTGCGGAGTCGAAGGATATTTTCACCGGAGCGTCATCGTCCATGCGTAAAACATGTCCAAGCCAGAGCAATCTATTTTTATGCGCTTAACTATGTCCATGTCGTTAAATAGCTCGTACAGTTCGTTATTCCATTTTCTTCGGTACTCGTCGTCCACGCTAACGGGGCCATAGTTCTTGCGAAGAATAGTTCTCTCGAGAGCCCCCAAAGCCTTCTCATCTTTGTTAGACATCGTCCATGTTTCTGCGCCATATAAAAGGACGGGCATGATGATTTGTAAAGCGTGATTTTTTTTCTTCGAGAGAGGGCTGCTTTTCAATTGCCTACCGAGCCCAAAGTAGTACCTGTTGGCAAGAGTAATTCTTCGCTTTATCTCCAGACTGACATTATTGGTGGTGTTTATGCTGGATCCTAAGTAAACAAAGTCCTTCACTACTTCAAAGTTATGACTGCCAACAGTGACGTGTGTCCCAATACGCGAAGACTTTTTATGTGTTGCCAGGAGGTACTTTGTCTCGTCCTCGTTCACCACCAGACCAACGTCGTTAGCTTCTTTTTCTAAGAAGCTGCGCTGACATCCCTGAGTTTCAGGCCAACGATGTCAATATCACCTGTATACGCCAGCAGCATCATGATTTTGCTGTATATGGTGCCGCTGGGCAGATTGGCAGCTCTTATAATGCTTCCCAGCATCAGATTGAAAAATCGCATGAGTGTGAATCGCCTTGTCTAAAAACTCGTTTGGCCTGAAATGGCGCGGAGAGGTCCTTCCCTAATTGGACGGCGCTGTAGGTAGTGCTCAACGTCACTCTACATAGCCGTATTAGTTTTGCGGTGATCTTAAATTTAGACATGGCATTGTACGGGAAGCTTCTCTTCGTGCTATCAAAAGCAGCTTTAAATCGACAAAAATATGGTGTGTGTCGATTTGCATATCGAGTGTTTTTTCCAGAATTTGACGCGCTGTGAAATTCTGGTCAATGGTGGACTTACCAGGACCTTGTATGCAATATTAAGAAGGCTTATTCCGCGATAATTGGAGCAAACAACGGATCTCCCTTCTAGTGGATTGGGCAAAGTTACTGCGATTCCAATCTTCGGGCATGTATTCATCAGACTAAATTCTGCTTAATAGCTGGTACATGCGCCCGACCAGCTCTTCGCCGCCGGCTTTGAACAGCTCGGCCGGAATACCGTCGGCTCCGGGGCCCTGTTGTTTTAAGCCACCATTGGTTCGGGTTCTTCTTCAAATGCGCCACCTGTGTTGCCATTCAGAAGCGTTGAGAAGTGTCTCTTTCATATCTCAAGTGTACTCTGGACAACTTTATCTCTATAAGAACCAGCCCCAGTCTTGAAACCATTTGATAGCTGCCTTATTTCTGATAGAATTTTCGAGCCGCATTCCTGCCTGCCAGCATCTCAAGCTCTTCGCATTCACGTTTTTCTGTCTCTCGTTTCTTTCTTTTGAATAGACGTCTCTCCTCCCTCCTCATCTCCCGGTATCGTTCAACTGTCGCTCAAGTAGCTATTGGCTGTAGGGTGGTTTTGTATGCTGCGTATTTCTTTGCAGTAGCCGTGCGGCACTCTTCGTCATACAAATTGTTTCTGCGCGTGCGGTAGTATCCCACTACCTCTTCCGTAGTGGCACGAAGTGATTGGGAGATGGATTCCCTTTGCTCATTTATATCCGATCGTTGAAGAGTTTATTGTTTAAGCGGGATTGAGCTTCGATTTCGAAATTTCTCGACTGTCTGCAGTGAATGCAGCTTCTCGGCATCTAACTTTCGCCGCGTTGCCTGATGGACGTTCTTTATTGCACAGAGGCGCATGCGGACCTTGGCTGCAACAAGGTCGCTGTTGGCTCTTCGGATAGAACGCACGTCAAGAACGCTCGAACCGTATCTTCCGTCTAGCACAACATGAGCTATTTGGTTCTTCGTTCTTTGTTCAGGGGACACCCAAGTGGCTTTATGGATGTTTCGATGATGGTGTCTGGCACTACTAACTACCATGTTCCGCGGAATAGTCGATCCGTTGACGGAGATGTAGTCATGGAGGCTGAATTTTCCGACTGTTGGACTAAAAATGCCTTCCTTGCCACCCTGGCGTTGAAGTCGTCCAGCATGATTTTAACATCGTGGCGGGGGCAGCACTCATAAATTGGGCTTTGATGCGGATCGTGGCGATTCGTTCACTGTTGGGAGTAAACCTGGAGACGAGGTGTCGTAGTCTCCGCCCAACCACAACACACCAAATTTGTGCGCCGTCTCATGACAGCTGTAGTAGATGTCACACGTTGCATATTTCATACAGCCGTGACCAGTCCATCGCATTTTCTGGATTGCAGTGATGTCAGCCTTATATTTTTCGAGGACATCCAGCAGTTGTATAGAGGTACCTTCCCTTTAAAGGGTCCGGACATTCCAAGTGCATATCCGTAAATCATGCGCTTCCATTAGGCAGTGTCCTGTAATTGTACCTACAACTGTGCTAATAATGGGGCGGTCGATTTGTATGAGAATTTTAGATCGTTTTTCGTTTATAATTGGCCAGATCTGTTTTGCAACAGAACATGTTGATTCTTTCGCCTAACGTTCGTTGGCCAATTTAATGAAAATAGATTTCAGTTGGTGCTTACTCGAGGACAGGGGAATGCCTGCATCGAGCGCAGAGTTTGCTGAGCCTAGTTCAGTTCCCCCTCGCCAGCTCATCTGCCGCGAAGTTTCCCGGTATTCCACCATACCACGTTAATGGTGGCTTTCGCGGCAAGCTCGTTTAGGTTACTTCTGCATTCAGCAGCCACCTTTGCGGAAGTGTTACTGCACTGCAAAGATTTAATTGCTGCTTGGCTGTCAGAATAAATAGTGACGGATTGTGGACAATTTGTGCCACTTTTAAGCCATAGGGCGACCTCCCTTATGGCTGTTAATTCCGCCTGAAACACGCTTCAGTGGTCAGGGAGCCGCCTGCTTGGGTTTAGCGAGAGTTCTTTGGAGTAGATTCCGCTTCCAACTTTATTGTCGAACTTTGATCCGTCCGTAAAGATTGCGGTAGATCCTTTATCAAGTCCGAGCGATTTACCCAGTTGCTTCTGTCTGGAATTCTGGTAGAAAACCTATTTTCGAAGCAGATATGTGGACTAATGTAATCCAGCTTACGTAAGGTTGCTGAAATGGTGCTCAGAATTTTTGAGTGACCGAAACTATGGTCTCTCCATGTATGAGCTGCACTCAGTCTAGTTGCGTTGCAGCTGGCCTGATATCTACCGTAAATATCGGTAGGGAGAAGATCAAAACAGTCTCCAGAGCCCTACTGGGAGTAGAGGGCAGGGCACCCGTGATTAACATGGTTGCCGCCCTTTGTACTCGGTCCAATACGCCTCTGTAAGTGGATTTTCTAGAGCCGGCCACCATACGGTAATCCCATAGAAAAGGAGGGGGCGGACAACCGCAGTATACATCCAGTGTATTATGTGTAGTTTCAGACACCATCGTTTTCCTACCGCTGCCTTACAGGCGTAAAGGGCGGTAATGGCTTTCCTGGATCGTTTCGAAAGGTTCCACCTCCAGTCCAACTTCCTGTCAAGAATTAAGCCGAGTTATTTAACCTCGTTGGAGAGTGTAAGTCCCACCCCGTTTAGGAAGGGGGCTGAAATCGGTATCTTATATTTCCTCGTGAAAAGTATCATTTCGGTCCTGGTGGGATTAACTTTAAGTCCACACTCCCTCGGCCAGCTGCTCACGAGCGCTTTGCAAAAGTTCGCTTAGCGTTTGGAGACGCTTGCCCGTGACTGTGAGTGCAATGTCGTCGGCATACTCTACGGCATGACAGCCGGTACTCTGCAGTCTCATCAGAATTGAGTTTACTGTAAGGTTCCAGAGCAGAGTACTCCTTGAGGAGTACCTCTCGTTGCATGCCTGGTTATCTACGCGCTCCCAACTCTGACGAGATAATTCTTCTTTCAAAGAGAAGTCTTATAAGCTCCATCAGAGGCCGCTCCAGCCCCCGTTGGGAAAGTGAGCCCACCACGGCCTCTGG